TCAAATATACAGAAATTTTATTTTATTTATTACAGAATACAAAGATGATAGGAGATTTGCATACTGCAATCTATAAAACATTGCTGAGAAGAATTGAAAAGACATAAATAAAGATATCCCATGTTCATGGACTGAAAGATGTAATATTGAAATGACGGAACTATACAAAGTTCCAACACAATCCCTATGAGAGTCCCAACAGTGTTCTTTTMAGAAATAGAAAACCATATCAAGAATGCATAAGGAACATAAAATATCCAAATGACTTGGAAAAGAACGAAGTTGGAGAACTCACAGTCCTGGGAACTTATTAGAAAGCTAAASTAATCAATACTGTGTGGTACAGGCATAAAAACAAACATACAACAATAAARTAGAAGAGAAAGCCCAGAAATAAACCCTCACATGTATGCTCAATTGATTTTCAAGAAGTATGCCAAGACCATTCAAATGGGAAAGGGCAGTTTTTTCAGTACATGGTGATGGGAAACTGGATATCCACATGAAAGAGAATGAAGTTGGATCCATTTGAATAAATTCTGCATGTTGTATCAGGTAAACATCCAACTTACAGAGTCTTTTTTAAAAAGTGTAATTTTAGCACTCCTGTCAAGTATCCCTAGACAGCTGTGACTGTGTGGGTTTGTCTCTGTGCCTTAATATCCCTTTACACAGGTCTTCATGTCTATTTGTTGCCAATGCGTTGCTGGTTTTGGTACTATAGTTCTGTGCTATCATTTCAGATCAGGTATTCTGATGGCCCCTGCATAATTTTTTCTTGCTCAGTATGGCTCTTGGTATTTCATGTCTTTATTGTCCCAAATGAATTCAATAATTGTTTTTTCTAATCCTGGGAGGGATGTAATTGTCATTTCGAGGGTGATTGCATTGAATCTTGGTAGTATGGCCACTGCTCTTGGTAGTATGGCCATTTTGAGATATTAGTTCTGCCTATGAGAAAACATGGGAAGTTTCTCCATCTTCTACACTTTTCTTCAATGTCATTCTTCAGTGTTCTTCAATATTCAAGTAGAGCTCTTTTACTCCTTGAGTAGATTAGTTCCCATGAATTTCAATTTTGTGTGTGTGTGTGTGTGTGTGTGTGTGTGAATAGGATGACTTTGATGATATCTTCCTTGGCTGGATCACTGTTAGAGGACAGGAAAGCAATTGATTTATGGGGGTAGATCTTGTGTCATTTTCCTTTGCTGAATTGATTTATATCTCTAAAAATCATCTGATGGTGTTTTAGGCATCCTATAGTGACAGCATCATGTCATTTCCAAGCAGATGACTTGTTCTCTTCCTATTTGTATCCCTTAATTTCCATCTCTTGCCTGATTGCTCTGTCTTGTGTTTCAAGATGTATATTGCACAGGAGTGGGGAGAGTGGACAACCTTGACTTGTTCTTTATTTTAGAGAAAATGGATTTAAATTTTCTTCATTGGGTGTGGTGTTGGTTGACGTTTCTGGTTCAAAGCTTTTACAATGCTGAGGTAAGATTCTTCCATCCTAACCTTCTCCAGCATTTTAATCATGAATTGACATTCAAAAGATCTTTTCTTTACCCATTGAGATGGTCCTGTGATTCCTGTCCTTAATTCTAAGTTGGGAACAACATTTATTGATTTGTGAATGTTGAATGAACTTAGCCTCCCTGAGATGAAACCCATTGATCATGCTGTATTAGCATCTTGCTGTGTTTTTCATGCAGGTTGGTAATATTTCATTAAGTATTTTTGCATCTATGCCCATCAGTGATATTGGCCTGTAGTTCACTCTATGTATCTCAGTCTGGTTTTCATATAAAGATTCTACTAGCTTCAGAGAGTGCATTTGGGAGTGTTCCCTCCCTTTCAATTTCATGGCACATTTAGAGAAGGACTGGTATTAATTTTTCTTTAAAGGTGTGGTAGAACTTAGCTGACGATGCATGTGGTCCTCATCTGTTCTTTGTTGGAAGCCTTTTACTTGCTGTTTGAATTTCACTCCGGAAGCTGTTCTGTTTAGGTTTTCTATATCTTTTGGGCTCAATCTGGGCAGGTCACATGTGTCTAGGAATTCATCAGTGTCTTCTTGATTTCCTAACTGTTTTGAGTTTGAATTTTGTCCATAGTGTCCAGACTTCCTCTGGATTTCAGAAGTGTTTCCAGTGGTGTTTCCTTTTTCATCTCTATTTTGATATATTTGAGTCTTTTCTCTCTTTCTGGTCATTTGGCTGAGGGATTTTCCATCTTATTTAACTTTTTAAAGAACCAGCTCCTCCTTGCATTGATCCTCTGTGTTGTTTTTCATTCTCAATTTCAATAATTTCTGTTCTGATCTTAATGATTTCCTATCCTCTACTCTTTCTGAAATCAGTTTGTTCTTCCTATCCTAAGGCTTTGAGTTAGAGTATATCTTATTTATTTGATATCTCTTTATTTCACTCAGGTAGGCACTCAATGATTTAGATTTTCCTATTAGAGCTGCTTTCATAGTGTCCCAGAGATTTAGATATGTTGTGTCTCTGTTCAAATTTGCTTCTAAGGATTTCTTAATTTCTACTCTCATTTCCTCTTTGATCCATTCTATATTTAAAGACTAATCAACACAGAAAAAATCACAGTGAGGACAGGAGAGGTGACAATTATGGAAATGACATTAACCTGGGAACAAGTGGATCAGAACACAAGCAGCTGGCTGTGGTGTGTGGACATGGATCTTGTATGGGGACTTTCCTTTGCAGACAAACAAACTTACTGAAGGTGACACTTCCCATATACACAAGGGGAGTGGTGGTGACCCAAAGGACAATGGTACTGAAGTGGGTTGATAATTCACCAAGGTATAAAAGATGCTTGCTTTGCATACTCAAATACAGAAGAACAAGGCCAGTATCTTGACACTCCTCAGGATAAGTTTTTACCAAGTCACAAAACACTAACGCTCAGTGTTTCTATGTTTCAAATTTTATTATTGTTTATGTTTCCCTATATGTTTAAATTGACATATAACTGATATTTTGAGTGTCTTTCATATTTTAACAAATGCTGAAAAGTTGGAAGAACCATGATTATTTTTCACGATCACAATGGAGATGTCTTCCCAGGGTTTTGGTTTCAGTTTTCATGGCCATTTTTACAATCCTGCTCTTCTATGGAGAGAGAAGACTGCATTTATCCAGGACAATCGTGTTGTTCATAAGTGCTAAGGAAGAAAGTCACTCATGTTAAGAAGAACATTAGGAGGACTCCTATGCATCCATTCCCAGGAGCCTGTATTTGCCCAAGGTGGGGCTACCTGGGCCCCCCAAAATTATGAAGCCATGGCACACACCCTGTCCTGGCTGAATTTGAGGCATAGGACACTTTGGCAAAGAGGAAGGAGAATAATTTTTCCTTATTAAACTAGAATGAGTTTCATGTGAGAACCTCAACAAGGCTGGGAGGAGGGGGAGGCAGGAAAAAGATGGCTGAATGACTCTTGAGAGTGAGGACTTGGGGTGCTTGATGGCCAAGCCCAAGRCAATGGAGGAGAGGCATCCTGACGTGGTCAGGTGGGGCTGGCTTGTCACATCTGGGGAGGGGTCATGAGTTGCTTTCTAAAGGTAGGTCCCAGGGCCCTGCTCAGGACCATGAGTCCAGGCTCAGCCATGGGGCATCAAGGACTGGGCAGAGATGCAACAGGGGCCTGTGGGCTGGTGTCCTTGGGGGAGGCATGTGGAACAGAGGCTACAGAGACTTCTGGGCAGCTCCTTCTCTCAGGCTGAGCACCGTCAAGCAAGGAGAAAGTGGCAGAGACTGAGGGTGGAGCAGGGAGAAGGTGGCAGATACTGAGGGTCCCAGATAGCAGGGAGTGATGATGGATCTGTGGGAAACATGTCCACATTCAGTTATCTATGCACTTTTCATGACAATTTCCTGAGAGCAATGATGTCCTCATGTGGCTGTCCTGGGACACCTGTTTTTATTGAAACTATGGCCCCAAGACAGGACTCTCAGTCAGCCTCTCCTGTTTCCTGACTCCTCTTCCCTCTCCCTGCAGTAGGCCACAATGAGAGTCAGAAGTGAGCACCCTGAGAGCAGCCCACCTAGGTCTTCTCAGCATTGCTCTGTATGGTAGAGTCTTCCTGCACATGGAGGCCCAGCTGTTGACTATTGGACTAACCTAGAGGTGGCCTCCAAGGGACACACTCAATCTGCTACACCTTTTTGTACCCCATGGGCCCAACATCTCTGGACCCCCTAGGACTCAATGGACACACATTGACAACATTTGACCTCCTCATCTCCTACCCACCCCACATACTTCCTGGGAGCTGGGACCCCACAGCAGTTTCCTGAGATCCTGAGGATGCTGAGGGGTGTGTGCCTGGTTCTCTAGACCCACTGACCCTGCAGATGTGCACAGGTGGGCTGCACTCCCCCTGGCCCTGCCCACTCTGCAGCAGCCTGTGGTCTACCCTCCCTCCTGGGGACTTACAGTCAGGACTTCTGCTTCCTGTAGATGTAGACGGCAGAGACACCAACTGCCAGTAGGATCTTGGAGCCAAAGAACAGGGCGATGAGGTATGAAGCAAGAGTAGACTTCACTGCTCCTGAAAATCAAGAGACAAAGGGAGCCATTAGGAGGACTCATATGCATCCATTCTGAGAAGTCTCTACTTGCCCCAGGTGAGATACCTGGACCCCCCAAAATCATGAAGCAATAGCACACGCCCTGTCCTGGCTGCCATAGTCAAGCCTGAGGCAGAAMCTGGTCAAGGGGTTCCTTATTCCCACACACTCAGTCCCAGGTCCCAGGGTGTCCTCCCTGAGGGAAGGTGAAATTGTGTGCTCTGTGACATTGCCATCCCAGCTGTGATGATTCTGTATTGATCCTCTGGGTCTCATGTAAGGGATCATCTCCTCCTGATAAGGACACTGAGGCCTGGGAGTTAGGGAGGGTCACAGCTTAGAGGAATCCAAACCCAGAGAAGCTCCTCCATGGAGTCCTATATGGTGACACCTGAGATCATGGTTTTTGGACCAAACGAATGCCCAGTGTCTTCAGGCCCAGAACACTATTTTCAGTGGGGCATGCACATGGGGTGAGGGCCCTTCCCTGGTGAGAGGAGAGGGCAAGGTTGCTGGCTCAGGTCCATGGGTGAGCTGAGGGGA